GTTTGTTGTCCCCACAGAGGTCAGGAGTGCAATGTTTGTAGCCCAAATTTGCTCTCCACCTCGCCCTTTCCCGCCACCTCATGGACAAGCTCCCTTGTGCCTGGCCACATTCAAGCACTATTTGTATTCACTGATTTCACAAGCCGGATGTTCTTTAAGGTCATATCACTTGCCCTTGGGCACACACCCCATGATTTAGAACATGAAGGTTGAAAAGTGTACACGGCACACATTGCTGGGCCTGCTTCTCTCAGTGGCTATTTTAGACAAACAAACAACAACAAAACAATATGGCAGGCTTCAGTCTTGAGTGCAGGATGTAGAGAGAGAGAGAGAGAGTCTGCTTACCCTTCCCCTTCCAGAGATTTTTCCAAAGGAAACAGGTCCCTGCTGGTAGAAACGTAGCTGATTTAGAGCAGAAAGAAACAGCGGGAGAGGAAAGGATTTTGCAGCCCTATTCCAGTCAGAAGTGGTAGCCAAAGTGCCCTGCCCCCACTCTGATTATATGCAGCTGCTGCTTCCTCTTTGGTGATCACTTGTAGCCGTGTAAGATTGTTTTCCAGAATCACGGTTTTAACAGTGAATCCGTAAGTGACTGTGGAGGCCAGTTCTGGATCCACATGACCTTCCACAGTGGAGACATAGGTTTCCAGACGGGAATTGATCACAGTGAAGGTTTGCTAAACGTGCCTTCCTCTTAGCACATTTCTCCCTTTCATCCTGAGTTCATGCATCTTCAAAGCCCATGACACCTTTGGTAAAGGCTGTTCTCCAATTGTAGCACTTGCAGGCCAGTGTTTCCAAGTTTTGGGCGTTTGTACTACATTTTTAAAGATTTGCCTTGAGAAAGTCTTTAAACCTCTTTTGTTGACCACCAGCATTACGCTTTCCATTTTTAGGTTTGGAATAGAGTAGTTGCTCTGGAAGACAATCATCAGGCATCCACACAACATGACCAGTCCAATGAAGTTGATGTTGAAGAATCATTGCTTTGACACTGGCGATCTTTGCTTCTTCCAGTACACGTGCAGCAGCAACACTGCGGGGGGGGGGGAGTTAACAGAGCATCACCCCTACCCCACCAACTGCTCCTGAATCTCATCCCAAGATGGCTTTCAGCGATTGCTTTTGGTTCCAAACGCCTCTTGGCAAAAACATATATGTAGCCGTATGTGTGTTGTACATGGTAACAGCTATTGATTTAGATGGCTTTAAAATGGGGAGTAAACAAATTCATGGAGCATAAGATTATCAGTGGCTGTTAGTCGTTAAGGCTATATACGCCATCTCCATTAGTGGAAGCAGCATCCTTTTAAATGCCAGTTGCTGGAGAGCAAAAGAGGGAGAGGATAGTGCCCTCCTGTCTTGCTTGTGGGCTTCCCCAAAACTGTGGCCACTGTGAGAAAAATGGGTTGCTGAACTATTAGGCCTCTGGTCTGATCCAGCAAGGCTCTCCTTATGTATGTCCTGCAGCAGTCCTCAAATCAAGATTTATACAAGTTATTTGACAGTGGTGGTAAGTTGTCTGGATGTGAAAGGAGTATTCACAAGATCACTGAATGCAGATTAGCTATGCCTAAACTTAGTAATGCCACTGGAACTCATGATTAGCCCATTTGTACAATGAATCCAGTGTGTTCATAATGCCAACGTATGCCATGAGTCCTGAGTCGGATGCACTGAAATTGTGTGATGTTTGTCCTTAAAATGGGATGCATGACCTGCACAGCTTGCATAACTAAGGCTGGGTACACATTGCCAGCTTAACATGCAGCCAAGTCATTGTTTTTCTCAGTTTTGATTGAAACTAGGGGGCTTTTCGGGGGAGGGGGAATAAAAATATAGTATTTCATAAGAAACGAGAAGATAAATACAGGATAGATATGGATTGTAGCTAATGTTATGTGCACTTCACTTCCCCGGGAGTGTGGACACAGGCTAAGCTGAGAGATATTCACTTCCTTCGTTCATGCTCAGATGGTGTTAGATACTTTACACTGATGTAGTTAATTTGTCAACAGAAGAAAATGTGGCAATGGCCAGAGAATGCTACACCATGACACATTTACATATTTTGTTATTTATTCTGTGTCAGCATCATGACACATGATGTTGTGATTTATTCCTAGTAGCAGAAAAGGAATCTCAGACAGGACATGCCAAAGTACACTTCAGTATCACACTTGCTGCAGTAACAATAAAGACATACCCAAACATGACCTGAAGGCTTGCAATAAAGGAGAGCTCACTTCCAAGTAAGGTAAAGGTAAAGGGACCCCTGACCATTAGGTCCAGTCGTGACCCACTCTGGGGTTGCGGCACTCACCTCGCTTTATTGGCTGAGGGAGCCGGCGTACAGCTTCCGGGTCATGTGGCCAGCATGACTAAGCCGCTTCTGGTGAACCAGAGCAGTGCACGGAAACACCGTTTACCATCCCACCAGAGCGGTACCTATTTATCTACTTGCACTTTGACGTGCTTTGGACCTGCTAGGTTGGCAGGAGCAGGAACCGAGCAACGGGAGCTCACCCCGTCGCAGGGATTCGAACCGCCAACCTTCTGATCGGCAAGTCCTAGGCTCTGTGGTTTAACCCACAACGCCACCTGCATCCCCACTTCCAAGTAGGACATCCTTATTTTCATTGGAGTAATGTTTGGGTGTCCTTATTTTCGCCTGAGAAATGTTGGAGGGTATGAGTTTTTATTTAGCTGGGTGGTTCTTTAACACAATAGAGTCACTTTGCCCACTGCTACTCTGACCACCAGGGGCACACAAATTTGTGACCTAGCAGGCCAGACATGGCCTACCAGCCATGATAAACTCACCAGTGGCTTGTGGAAATGCACATTGTTGTGTACTGCTGTGGACTATTAAAACGGGGCAGGAAGTGAGTTGACTTATTTACTTAGCACCTGCCAGAACACCATAAGTAGTCACTGGGCTGTGTTCAGTTTGGTTGTTACAGGTTCACCTAACAGACTAGTTAATTATGCTAGTATCTGTGTAATGAGAACAATCTTTTCCTGTGGACACATGTGCTAAACTCTACTAGTGTACAGTATTAGTATCTGTACCTACCTATGAGGATCCTGTGTTAAAAGTAATGGGTATGGTCCAGATGGTTAGTTGTACTTTAAGTACATCCACTGTTCCATTGTTCTCCAAGAAATACGTAGTTTGTCTGGGAAACGAAATATGGCAAATACGACAGTCATGTTATATATTCCCCATGTATAGACATTTTACAGGGATCTGAAAGAGTATAAGGAAAATATTTCAGTCAGTGGCCATGACTGACTCTGAATCCAGTCTTATGTGCTGATGCTTCTGAGGAGGGTTTCCTGTATACTCTTTTCTATCCCAGGGATATATAAACACGACTGCCATCTTTCCTGTCCATGTAAACTGATCTTTTGGAGAATGGTGGAACCGGTGCAAGGTCTACATGAGAAAGAGATGGGGCAGTGTTACAAAGATTTGGCAGTGGCACTATCTGTATCAGGCCTCCCTCTACAAAGTGAGGCTGAAGGGACAATCACAGTTTAAGGCCCACTGGGAGAATCCCAATCACTCATTGTTTACAGCTGATGCCCACTTCTTTGTGGGAACATCTTTGGCCCACACAGACCCTTTAACAGTGGTATGGAGATGTGAGACCGCTTGTGTTAAGCCCTGGGCTTTGCTCCTTCTTCTTCTTCTTCTTCTTCTTCTTCTTCTTCTTCTTCTTCTTCTTCTTCTTCTTCTTCTTCTTCTTCTTCTCTCTCTCTCTCTCTCTCTCTCTCTCTCTCTCAGTGCAGCAACCTACACAAATGTTGGCAGCAGTTTTCCCAGCAAGATAAAAACATCTAAGTCAAAGGTGCAAGTCCAATCTACAGAATAAAATTAAATTGCAACACTACCTTGTTTAATCATTTATCCATGAACCTCAGAAAGCTCAAAAGGTTTTGTGGGGAAATCGCAGCAGAATAACAATAATATGAACCAATAACATGTTTCCCGTTCTAGTTGTTTAGATTATAATAATGAAACTTAGGCCGGCATCCACATGTATCTCCAGAATGCTGAAAACTCTCCCCAGTGACATGTAATGAAATAAGTAACAAAACTGTTTGAATGCATTAGAGGAAGCCAAGAGAAATCCGTTAGGTTTTCTTTCCCTCTTCTTCTCCTGCATCAGAAGAGGAAAGTGGAATAGTGGGTTCCTGTGATGGGGATCTTAAAAAGCAGGATTCTGTGAAAGCTAAATTCACACAGTGTGTTCACTGAGTAGTTAACAACAAGATGCAGCTGTTAAGAGAGAGTTTTATCAAATGTCAAGGCACTTGTTAACGACAATAAGATGATCATCACCATTTAGTCTTAAACTGTAATTTTTTAAATTTTGAATGAGGGCATATGATGACAGGTAAAGGATCCAAGCCAGACAAGTCACTGCGTCCTTATCAACAAAGGGAAGCAGTGTTTAAATGTCTCCCGAGGTACCTATCTAGAAGAATTCTTCGTGCTTCTGAAATGAGAATTGCAGGTGCTGGGCTTGTTTGATAAGTTCTCAGTTGATACAGTGGTACCTCGGGTTACATACGCTTCAGGTTACAGACTCCGCTAACCCAGAAATAGTACCTCGGGTTAAGAACTTTGCTTCAGGATGAGAACAGAAATCGTGCTCCGGCAGTTCGGCGGCAGCAGGAGGCCCCATTAGCTAAAGTGGTGCTTCAGGTTAAGAACAGTTTCAGGTTAAGAACGGACCTCCAGAATGAATTAAGTACGTAACCAGAGGTACCACTGTACATTATATGTGCATGTCTTAGAGCAATTATCCACAAGAGAATCATACAGCAGCTTGATAGTGAAACATAATGATTGTCAAATCCGGAGCAATAAACATGATGAGCAATAAATGCTGCATGTTTCAAAATTCGCTTTAACTGTGACATGCATCTGTCATCATTTCTTTCTTTCTGTGGTGATGGTGTTTGGAATCCCCAAGTAAAAGAGCAACAACAAAGGACTCAGTGTATCAATTGGCACTTTATAAATATGTAACTAAACATTGGCTCCTTCCCCAATCTAGAAGTAACAATTCTGGGCACAAACAATGCAAGTTCTGTTGAAATTGGTCCGCTTTTAAGCTTCCGCGTAGAAACAACAGGTGGTTACTACAGACAGGCAATCTGCAACATATTGATTCCAGAGCAATCCAATTTATTAATTAACAGGGTATCTCTGCAATAAATGGATTATAGATTGCTATGAATAAGGTCAACAAAATAAGCATATTAGATACAGGATCCAGATATTCTAAATGGCATAGGAGCAGTGCCAACAACAACAAGAACAACAACAAGAACCACAGGCAACCTACAAAGATCCTTTTAAAAATGCCAGCAGACTGGAAGGAAGCTGACCACATGCATAAGAGGAGACACTTCCCGTATCTTTGCTGGTTGTACAGAAGTGAGCATATTGATAGGTAAATTGGTAGATAAATCTTGTCACAGAGAATGGCTTACAATGTTTTTGAAAGTGATGCTAAGACAAGCTGGACATAGTCAAATGCCCTCTCTTGCATCTGATCACTTCAGCTACAGAGTTATGGACTCTTTCTCTTGTTCTGTAGGTAACATGAATGATGATTTCTGTATCTTAACCTGTTTGCAATCTTTCCATAGGAAATAATGGCATGTGCTTTGTGCTTGGGTAGCATTTAAACACGCTATTGACAGGAATAGCAAGGAATGGTGCTGAAATCTGTAATTAACTAGTTCTGTATGTTAATTTGTCAAGCTTCTTATGCTTGCCTGTATGAGCAGCATATCATCTAAAAGTTCTTCCCTCCTTCTTTTCAATTCTCTGACTCATAATTGAAAAGATTATATGCACGCCCCATCAGTGTCCAGCAGACCAAATGCTATAGGGCTGGCCATAGCTCAGTGGTCAAGCACCTGCTATGTAAGCAGAAGATTCTAGGTTCAGTCCTTGGCATCTCCAGGTAGTGTTGGAAGAGAATCCTGCCTGAAATCCTAGAGATCTTCTGCCAGTCAGTGTAGACAGTACTGAGCTAGATGGCTCCCAGTACATTTCCGAGCACAATTCAAAGTGCTGGTGCTGATCTTTAAAGCCCTAAACGGCCTCAGCCCAGCATACCTGAAGGAGTGTCTCCACCCCCATCGTTCTGCCTGGATACTGAGGCCCGGCGCCGAGGGCCTTCTGTCAGTTCCCTCACTGCGAGAAGCCAAGTTACAGGGAACCAGGCAGAGGGCCTTCTCAGTAGTGGCACCTGCCCTGTGGAACACCCTCCCACCAGATGTCAAAGAGAAGAACAACTACCAGACTTTTAGAAGACATCTGAAGGCAACCCTCTTTAGGGAAGCTTTTAATGTTTAACAGACCACTGTATTTTAATACTCTGTTGGAAGCCGCCCAGAGTGGCTGGGGAAACCCAGCCAAATGGCTGGGGTATAAATAATAAATTCTATTCTATTCTAGATGGACCAATGGTCCAATTCAATATAAGGCTATGTTCAGATGTTGATTGTTGTAAATAGACTACCCAGGGCTAAATGATGGTTTGGCTTAGCATTATGCCTAAGCCCAAGCTTGTGGTTTGTCTCCCTTAGACAAACCACAAGTGGTATACAAAAAACAAACCTTGGTTACAGCTCAACATCTGGAGTGAGATAAACCACAAGCCTGGGTTCACATGTAACACTAATCCAAACCATAGGTAGCTCAGCAACAGCAAAACCAAGGGACAAGCACTGAACCTGCACATTTGCTCATTCGTGCTAATCCATAATTTGGCTTATATTAGGTGCAAACCAGATCATTGTGTGCTACAAAATGCACACACACACACACACACACACACACACACACACCCCTAGACCAGTGTCATCAGATTAATGTTTGTGCAGCTCTGAAGACAAACTTCTCTGTCTGGTTCCATTACACATACAGCGTCCAGGGAATACTGTACTGCAGGGATGTTTATTTTCAGTGACAGTAACATATCTCTCAGTCTGCAAATAGCCACTGCAGCAGTTCATTCTTAGCAGCATGTTCGTCCTTTGCCTTATATCTGAGTTGGGTTTCAGAGCTTGTGGGATGTGTAGCAGGTGTTTGCAGGTGGAACCAGCAAGCATATTCTGGTGTCACTGGCAAGAATTCATAAGACAACATCATTCCCCTGCTTCTGCTTAATGTGTGAGAGGCAGCAGCTATGCATCTATCTGCTATCTGCTGGCCAGTAGCTACACATTCAGCATTAATGTGAAAGGGTCCTACATACATACGGATATGTGTGGTGGCTGCTGTATGTGAATGGGAACCAGGGTGGGCCAGAGTTTCTGCTTGCATGGAGGAATTGCATATGCATATCGTTGTGTGCAGTGTCCCTTCATACCAATGCAGAAGGTACAGCCACAGGAGGAGAGGTGCCCCTTTTGGGGTGTTGCCAGTAGTCATTATCATGTTGTCCTTGTTGCATGTATGGGGAGGGGTCATTTGAACACCCCTTAGTCCTCTGCTCTTTTTAGAGTAAAAATTCAGGAAGATGTGTCCTGTTTCTTCCAAGAGCTTCTATCAATTTATACAAATAGTGTTACCTCCAATCTCCACCAAGCATAGCAAAATCCCAGGTAGTTACAGGCAGTCACCGAGGGTTGTGTTTCCATTGGGAATGCAAGGCATGGTGGAGGCTTGTGTCTTTAAGAAATATGGTTTACTTTACACATATTTACACCTAAAGTCTTCAATAGAGAGCTGCAGAGTTTACAGCATTCACATTTCGAAGGGCTTGTTCCCCATAGTATTAGATTCCAGTACATCTCTGTGTCGCTGTCCCAGCCTGCCTAGATGGTTCTGACCTTCAGCACCTGCATGGAGTTCTACTTATTTCCCCCTTCTTGTTCCCAGAACACTTTGCTCCAAGAAACTCCTCCCCATCCGCTCACTCCCCTATTCCAAGCCTAGTTTTAAAAGGTGAGAATTTTAAACCGATGACATCATTCACCATAACTTTTGCAACCTCTGCTGGCCCAAGGATTTCTCTGTGATGAGCCACCAAGACCTTTCATCGTGTTAGTGATCTCTATCCCACGTGAAGCCCTGGCTTGTATTTTTCCACCGGCCTGGAATCTTCCCTTCAATACTCCAAAAATTATCTAAATTCTGCCATTTTACTAATTTCTAACATTCACTAACTCTAGATCTGTAACAAGATTTATGATCCAACCTTGGCCTTGTGGTTCCTGGTACTGGAGATGCCTTCATTAATAAAATAATTGATGGGAGAGGGAATTGCCACTGCTGTCCTTTTTGGGGAGCTAGTCATTAAAAAATGCATTTCTGTTGCTTTTTCTGAGAGATGTTACAAGTTGCTTCAATCTTGGCATATGATGAAAGCCCATACATCTCCTCTGCCCGAGATGAATGATTTATACCTGTTTGGGATCAAAGTTGTGAGAGTTCTCTGTGGTTTCTCCTGTTCATTGCTCAGTAGAAGCTGGACTGGTCCTATCATTAGGCTGAATGAGGTGGCTGCCTCAGGCAGTAAATGCTGCTGGTGGGCAGTAGTAGCAGCCTGCACCTTCCACTGTTCCACTTGAGTTTCCTTAGAGAACAGAACTGTGTGTGCCATGCACCACTGAGCCTGTTGTTCTTAAGTGGAAGGTGCAGTCCCATTGCCAGGACTGAAGTAAGATTCAGCTGCAAGTCTTTACAGATTCTGTAAATGGAATTGAGGGGGGTGGGGGGAAGAGAGTGATATATAGGGCCAGCTCTGATATATGGTTCAAATTCATCAAACCAATTTGGACTGGCAAAGTGTGTACAGGAAGATTTAAAGTGCTGTGGAATTCTCTACCTATGAGGGGCTTGTAGACAGATAGTTTGACTCCTTCCTACACACGGCATGGTCCACTGTGCAGAACACAGCTCACTAGTTATATGTGGTAGCCCGTTTGGAGCCTGATGAACTTGCTGTTTATGCCGCTTGCCTGGAACTCTAAAAAATAAAATAAAATGGGACTGTCAAGCAGCTTTACATGGCTGGAAGTTTGTGTTTGACTCAGAAGGTCACAATTTGTGCAGGGCTGCACTAGAGTAGGGAGAATGGGCTTTGACTCCTTCTGCTTCTGGTTTGAGCAGGCGACCTTCAGGTCCATGCTAACTCCATGTTTTTAACTGAGAAGAGCCCTGGTGAAGGAACAAACGGCTTCCTAACAGTGCTCTTACCAGAGTATCAAAAAGCCTTGTGTGCCACACTAACAACTTGATTTCCTTCATGGGCAATCTTTTTACTTTCCAAGCCACGCTCTCTCAGGAGTAATATGTTTGGGGCTGCATGCTGACAGAGTGTGGCTAACTACAATTGTAGGTGGTGTTGGAGCCAAAACTGGGTGGAGCCACTCCATTTTTTTTCTCCCTCTTTCTGTTACTCCCCCTCTTCCTCCCCCTACGTAGTGGGCTGCTGGGGGAGGGAAAGATCACATTTGCCAGAGGCATGAACTGATCACTTGCGGACAGCTTTTGAGCCTAGGCACAAGCATTGGGCCAGCCCTACATCACTTTCATACCCTCCAACATTTCAAATCTGGGAATGTCCCTGGGAAATAGGGACACTTGGGGAGTCAGCACTTTCCTGTGTTGGGAGATGAGGCGTCAGACTAGTGGTATCTCTCCCATTGTTCCCTGACTCTTTTTCTATGAGATGACAAGCTCTTGAATGTGATGGAGTCTACCTCTTGGGTGGCTTCATCCCACACCCACCAAAAAAGATCAGACCCAACCTGAGACCCAGACCCAGCAACAGCACAATAGCCACGGCTAATTAAAATAATGCTGTGCCCCGTCCTGAGCACAGCTTGGCTTTTACTGCAGATGACTTCATCAGTGATAATGAATGTGTGAACCTGAATTCTTTTCCACTGCACTGTTTATATATGCAAGCATGCTGTTGACACAGATCTCTTAATCCCTTCTCTGTGTCCCATGGACCATGCTTGTACAATAGCAGCCCTCGGCCTATTGCTGGCATTGCACTTTACTTCTCTGCTGAAACCCCTTTTACCTCAGACTCGCTGACCAGTTGCTGACAGGGTGTTATTGGCAGGGGAAGCAGAGAGTTGTTTTGCTGGGAATGTGAACTGTGCAGAGCTGTTTAAGAATGAGAGGAACAGGACAGGCAGAACATAGACTTCAAAATATGGACAGGGAGAGTGTAGACTCTAAAACAGGATTCAGAAATCCAGGAATGTTCTTGAGAAACCCGGCTGGGCATCTGAATTGTTATTGCTTTGTGTTGGATTTATCTTTTTCACATGGTGTGTGTGTGAATATTTCATATCCATTCCAGGAAGAAAGATGGATGTTCCTAATTTGAAATGCTGTATTTGTTATGTGCTAGTTTAAAACGTTTCTAAACCAGCCCTCAATCTTATGGATACCAGGACAGTGAACAGTAGTAAAATATGAAATGCTATAATGTAATTTAATGAAAACGACAACCATTCTGGGGCTGTGAGGGACATTAGCAGCAGCCACCCAGTAATAATATCCTGGTCTGTGTGGGACTAACATATAACTGCTTCAACAGTTATTTGCAGCCCAGGAAACTCTTCTGCTGAACGGCAGGGAGGTGCCCTGGTGTAGTATCTATTGTATATATATATTTCTATTTTATTGTGTTTTTAATATGTTGTATGTCTCCTCAAGAACTTTGATTAATAGGTGGGGTATAAATACCCTTAAATAAATAAATAAATGGCCATGATTTCTGAGGCTAATGGGATTTGGGAGGTGAACAATATGTGCAGTGAATCATGTTGGCTATCCCCGCCGTACATTGTAGAAACTGGCAGTTCCACAAATGAAATAAAAAATAATACTTAAACAGCAAAAAGGAAGAGAGAAGGCCCAGGGCACAGGGTGGACAACAAAGGGTGCCTTTGTGGCTGCATGTTCTTTCTGTATTGCCAAATGACTGGGGAATCTAATGAGTTCCTTCTCTTTCCCGTCAGCGTTTGATGACTACTCCAGCCTGTTACCTAAGCATGGAGAAAACTGTCATTTTTATAGTTCTCTCAATTTCTCATTTGTGTTTTTATATACACATTTCTTAGCTGGAGAAGCACACTGTAAGATTTAAGTAAGTGTGAATTATGAAGGATGGCTGTGTTTCCGTTGGCGCATTGTTTTGGAATCTGCAAATTTGGTGAATACCTTTAGATGGAAATGGAATTGAATTTCTCCCCAATTTCTAATTTCACCTGAAAGGCTTCCTTTGGGAAACTGAAGCTGAAGCAGCTTGGTGTTTTCACAGATTTGGCATCTGCCTGCCCTTTTGCCTGAATTCCTCAAGGAAATATCACTACCGGTGAAGTATGCTGCACAGAGGTGCTGTGTGCAGGCTGCAGAGGAGGAGGGAGGGTGTGGAAGAAGAAGAAGAAGAAGAAGGAAGAAGAAGAAGAAGAAGAAGAAGAAGAAGAAGAAGAAGAAGAAGAAGAAGAAGAAGAAGACAGGGCTGAGCAGGAGGACACCTTGAATATCCAGTCAAAGTAATGCTAAAGGAGGTAGGAGTGACTCAGGACCTGCCTCAGACATTTTGGCACCTGAAGTGACACACCAAACAGTGCCTGTCCCCTGCCAGGGAAGAAGGTGTGGGTGAAGATCTACTCCAGGAGCAAGGGAGGAATCTGTTGCCCTCATGGATCCCGTTGCCTGAGGCAGTTGCTGCACTTGGCCTCATGAGTGGGCTGGCCCTGGAGTGTCTCCCCATGGTAGAACGTATAGGGACATGGGTGGTTCTGTGGTCTAAACCACTGAGCCACCTGGACTTGCTGATTGGAAGGTTGGCGGTTCAAATCCGCATGATAGGGTGAGCTCCTGTTTCTCTGTCCCAGCTTCTGCCAACCTGGCAGTTCAAAAGCATGCCAGTGCAAGTAGATAAATAGGTATAAATAGTGTATAGGAGTTCCTTAGCATATACACCACATGCTAAGTGAATTGCACCAAAAAGTGAACCAAGGGATATACATGCAACTCCCCATTTACACGCATTCAAGGCACATGAGACTGCACATGCGCGCATCATTGCGAACTTGGAAGTGGCACAAAAAGGGGCAAAACCAGCTGTAAAAGAGCACGAAAAGCGCAAAAATTGTGTGAAAACAGCACCTAGCAATCCAATGAGCCTTTGCAAGTACAGTCCCAGGAGCCCTTGCACCGACCTTTGAGGCCTGTGGAGAGTTTGAGATTGAGCAAGGAGGTTTGGTGGGTGTTTGCAGGCTTTTTCAATGGTGTTCCTGATATACGCGATTTCACTTAAATGTGCAGGGCCCCAGAACATAACCCCCACGTAAATGGGGAGTTGCCTGTAATTGAAATTAATGCTTTGGTACAGAAATGGAGAAAGTTCTGTTTGTTTGTTTCCTAACTCAACCATATCCCTTGTGCAGAGGCTCAGGACCACAAAGGAAACAAGAAGAACTGCCAAATTTATGTTTTCTTCCAATTCAGCCTCTTCTGGTTATATGCAAAGAGGGTTTTCACAGTTTCAGAATAACCACGAACAGCTCACTGTCCTATCAATAGAACTTCTAGATTAAGAGAATTCACAGGCGTTCCTATGCAGAAGGACACTGGCGGATTAGGGCACCTCCGGGCTTCCACTATTTTCACATTCTGGCAAATTTAGGCTGCACATTTATAGTTCATTAGGAGGTCTTCTGCAACACACCTACTTCCCCAAAAGATCGGGCTTTTCGCAATAAGCAAAGTGATGTGAAAATACACTGGAAAGCCTAGGATAACATTTGCATCCTGCAAATAAATCAGAATGAATGCTCATTAAATAGCCAGCATCTTCTGATCTCACTGCAAGCAAATCAGGAGGAATGATCAATAAACACAACCTATTCCTTAACAGGGTTTCCTTCCTAGTTAGTGTTCTCAGAATTGTAGCCCCCAGAGATCTCTGTGAAGCAGCCTCAGCAGTTCCTGAATTAGGTGTTTGTTGTTAAGGCAAGTTGCTGGAATCTGAATTCTGGTGCAGCCAGGAAACTTTCTAATGCAAGGGTGGGCAGAAGATTGATCCAGATCTACTGGTAAATCTCTGAGTGTTTTGCAGCAAATATGCAAAGATTCTGACAAACAACTGATTAGCAACACCAGCAACAGAAAGTTTTCTGCTCCTTCCCCCCACCCCAAAATAATTAGGCTACTGAGATAAAGGACACTTGGAAGGAGGGGGGGGGGACACACAACCAGAAATAGGGTTTGTGTGTTAGAACACTAAAACTTTGCTCACTGTCCTATCTGTGTTTTTATATTTGATTTTAAAAGTTTCTTATGTTATTTCTATCGTCTTGTTTCGTAAGTTGTTCTGAGACACTCCTAAGTGCAAAAAGCAATGAATAAATGCATTAAAAACAGTACTGAAAAGAATATTGAGATCACACCCACCCACACCCCTGACCCTGTTGTAACAAATAACAGATCAAAACTGTATCTTAGAACTTTTCCAAGAACAGAAGAGCTTTACTCTGAGTGCTGTGTGCCAATCCAACATCAGTAGTGCAATATTCTGCCTTACGTAAGTCGTTGTGAGAAGGGAGACACAGAGGAGCACACAGCCTCTGAAAAACGAAATGAAGGAAGGAAAAATGAGAAGTTTTCAAAAATGGGTGGGGCATGGCTGTGGCAAGGGAATGATAACACTCTTTGGGGGGTGGGGACTTTAAAAAAAAGTTTTGGGAGTATTTCTCATACAAAATAAAAGAAGAAGATGGCATGAGGAAAGCAATGGAGTTGGTGTTTACCTCCAGTAATGTGAGGGGCAATATTCAACAGCTGTCTGCAACAGTTTATAGAATTGTAGACTTGGAAGGGACCTTGAGGGTCATCTGGTCCAACCCCATGCAATGCAGGAATCCTGCCCACAACTGCCCCTGGGTAGGCTCAAACCACCAACCTTCTGGTTAACAGCCAGATGCACTGACCCAATTCACCACATGATGGATTGAACAAAACCTAGGAGCTCTTTGTCAGCAACAACAACAACAAGAATTGCCAATCCCTGGTTTAAGTTCCCAGAAACATCACATATCAGGACCTTAAATTGTGTGCTGGAATGTATTAGACGTCAAAGGAGATTACACAATAATAGTGCAGCATTTCCCCAGCAATTCCCTCTCTTAGAAGTGAGGCAGCACATTTCAAACCTGCTATGTTTTCTGAATGATAGTCAGTAGCAGGCTCACATAAAGCACAATAGAAGCAAGGATGCTTCAACCGTTGTTAATGTGTTCTGTTGACTGGAACAATGTGGTCTGAATTCATAGGGCAGATGAGCTTGACAGACTTGTATAGTCAATATGACTAGGTTGAGATGATATCTGGCATTGGACCAAACGATCCATGGACACAAAGTAAACTTCACACACTTCTTCATTAGGCGAAATGATCAGAACAAAATACAAAGAACATGGACTGTGCCAGGTTGTGTGGGTTAATTATTAGTACATCAAAACTTCTGGAACAAAAGAGAATATTCTCAGTAAGAGGGCGTCAGTTTACCAGAAAGATTAGATCAAGTGTCTAGGAGCATCATTGTTGAAAAAGGAGGTCACTTTCGGAGTTTATCTATTTTGCTAGAAGTGTAGCATTAATGAAGATTATTTTAATAATGGAGCAGATGTCAAGGATCTGGGGAATATAGGGCTTTTCCAAGTGAGAGTCCAGTTTACTGTCTTGTGTTGCAATATTAGATTTTAAAAAATCCAATAGTGAGATGCACCATTTTTAATATTTAGAATCCTTCATGGGATTTGTTAAAGAATCTGAAGGCCATCCTTTTAGACAATTTTTGCAAGACTGTTATTAAAAGGCACAAAGGTGGGTAGGATTATTGTGAATCTGCCACTACTGTTCACCCCTCATTTCTGTCTGTTGGAAATATTGCTGTTTAGTTGTAGCTGAGGATTTTCAAGAGCTAGCAGCCACCAGCTGCTGTAGACTGTAGCTCTTGATTTCATGCGTTAAGCGAGAGGTTCAACTGGATGGGCTACAAGTCCTGATCTAACCTCTAGTCCCAGGACAGGGATGTTCAGGTCCAATGGTCCTTCAAGGTGCCCCATGATATTCTTGTAAAGAAGCTGGTAAAATGTGGTCTTGACTATGCTACCACTCAGTGGATTTGTAACTGGCTGACTGACCGAACCCAAAGGGTGCTCATCAATGGTTCCTTTTCATCCTGGAGAAGAGTGACTAGTGGGGTGCCACAGGGTTCTGTCTTGGGTCCGGTCTTATTCAACATCTTTATCAACGACTTGGATGATGGACTCAAGGGCATCCTGATCAAATTTGCAGATGACACCAAACTGGGAGGGGTGGCTAACACCCCAGAGGACAGGATCACACTTCAAAACGACCTTGACAGATTAGAGAACTGGGCAAAAACAAACAAGATGAATTTTAACAGGGAGAAATGTAAAGTATTGCACTTGGGCAAAAAAATGAGAGGCACAAATACAAGATGGGTGACACCTGGCTTGAGAGCAGTACATGTGAAAAGATCTAGGAGTCTTGGTTGACCACAAACTTGACATGAGCCAACAGTGTGACGCGGCAGCTAAAAAGCCAATGCAATTCTGGGCTGCATCAATAGGAGTATAGCATCTAGATCAAGGGAAGTAATAGTGCCACTGTATTCTGCTCTGGTCAGACCTCACCTGGAGTACTGTGTCCAGTTCTGGGCACCACAGTTCA